GTGACTTGAACCTAACACATCTTTGGTGTCTTCTTTGATGCTTTAAGGTTTTATATTCATTTATCAATCTTTTCGATATTATTATGCTTATTCACGTATGTTTAGGGATCCGTCTCAACGGTTTATCGCGTCTATTCGTGGCTGGGAGGTGTTCTTGGGTTTCGGGCCGCGATGTACAGCGGGGAGATTCATCACCTCATCAAGGCCTCCTGAGCTGGCAGAGAGTCCGGCGTTTCCATCAGGAAGCTCAGCTAGGCATGGTGGTATACCTTCCTCTGGTCCATAAGGGCAGCGAGTGCCTGTGGTGGTGACGACTTGGGGCAGACTTTGACCACGCTGACCTCGGGTGCCCGCAGAACTAGTTAGGACGGGCCATCCAAGTACCCAAGTATACTTAGAGATTATGATACTACTGAAACTATCAATCTAATTGTCTTATGATGTTCCACATTAACCCATTTGCTAATAGTGTTTTCCTTTTTGCACTTTCCGTTTCCTTTTACGAGTCTTCCCATTAATTTTTAGCCTACAATTCAAGCTTTGCCGCCATAATAATCGAAATACCTAAACGTTAACGAGTGTTACTCATTGATAGAATGCGGTAGTATGCAATCATGACATTTCTATTACGTCATTACATGTTGCTTTTTCTCTCCCTTTATTTTCTGTCGATTTATCACCATGTAGTACCCTTACATGGAATGCAATACGGTGTTGAGATTTTTAAGAAAATTTGGTAACTGACTAAGTTATGTGCAGCAACACTAAATTCTGATGTTTTCTCCGAGTTCTTCGCCTTGTTTCAGCCACTATCAAGCTTAACTAAAATGCTAAATTTTCAATTGAAGGATAAGCTAAAAAGAGTTCGTTTTCCTTGAGGGATTTGCTATAGGGGGGGGGGGGAATAAGATTACAGTGATTTAAAATTACGGTAACACGCAGATGATAGCGTTGTGCTGTCTGCCATTAACCCGTCACGTACGTACATGATCGTTAATATTTTTCTGTAGGGGAAGTTCCCGTTACGTACGCACACGATCGTTAATATTTTTCTGTAGGGGAATTTATGTCATATAGTAATATGGTGGCAGTACTCTTAATGATTGCATTACATTTTTCATTACCATCATCATCATCTCTCTCCGTACTCGCCCTTCCCGCCTTCATGACTAAAGGTCACCTGCCATGGCGAAAAGTGTTGTCTGGCAGGTTACTCACCTGATGCTGTACAATTAGATGTAATCAGGTGTGGTGGTCTATCTCCACCTCATTTTCTCTTCTCACCGCACTGTTCTTTAGCATTTTTTCCCCATTTACTCTTTCCCTCCCACTCTCTCACTTCCTTCCCTATTTCCCTTTACCTTTCTCTCCTTCTCTACTTATTTCTGCTTCTCTTTTCTGCTTTAAAATTCTTGATGGAAATCACTAACAAGCAAAAGCAACGATAAAATTTTTTTATATAGTTTTTATTTGGTCAACGTTTCGAAGTCTTCATCTTCCTCAGAAGACTCTCTGAAGACGTCAAAACGTTAGTCGAATAAAAGTTGTACAGCAAACCTCGTGCAAGCTTAAAAATTTAAACACATGTTGATTAATCATACCGAGATTAAAGGGTAGTCGGTTTTTTGAGATATTTTTTATATGTCGTTCTCTTTTGTGACGAATCAGCTAATCCTAATAGGGCTAAATCAATGCCATTGATTTTTTGATGGTCCATTAACCGTGGAATTTGACGTCATTTTTCTTTCCTTGCTATGTACGAATTTCACATTCTTCATGATTCTCGTCCCAGTGTCTTCACTTCCTTATCTTATTGCTACGTTTTACAACATATGATTCGTTTCGCTTTGTTTTTGTTCCTATTCCTGTTTCTTCTCTGAAATAATGATCGCCTTTATAGGAACCATGAAGGTTTACTCCGATACATCCGTTCACGACAAGGAGCCAATGAACCCGATCAGACGGGTAGGTTAATTGAACGATCGTCAAGTTTATAGGGATTCTTTCTAGTTGTGGCGGAATTTTTCAAAACACAGAACCTGTGAAATTTGATAACGCTTTAGATTTTAATATTTATAACGAAACTAAATGCATCTACGATCATATCTGCTTCGTTGGAATGATTTTTAGATGCGGTAGTTACCATTTTCCACATTCTTCTGATAAGATGACTATGAAAAAATCAGATAAGATAAGAAAAAATGTCACCGCATACAGATATAGATGGATGAGATAAGATAAGAAGAAGTGTCTGTAGGTACCGTTTGAGTCACCACCTCTATTCAACAAGATAAGTTTCTGGTTGAAATTTAGCCCTGCTTTTTGAAATGTTTTGTATATGGTTTAGTTTCTTAATGGGTTCTAGTATTTCACTGTGGTTACGAAATTATAAAATGTATTATCAAAATCTGATTAATATGGTTTCCACTTGATAACTGGAATTGTTTCTGTTTCTATGTCTCTGCTAGCGGAAAACGCACACCCATCGTCACCAGTCAGATGATCATCAAGAGAACTCGTTTTATTGCTGTAACATGCGGTACTACACAAAAGGGTCTGGCACTTATTTTGCACCTTAAGTGTCGATGAAAGAAGCGCGAAATAATTTGATAATGTGCCGAAGGCTTGGAGTGATTTACAAAGGTTCTAAAGTTTACTTAGACAACTTATATAACTGGCTTATATAATAACCTTCTAACCGATTTACAAAGACAGTGTTTTCGTGTGATCCTTACGAAATTCTGTTATTGAGCTTGTACGAATTTAATCCAGTGTTTTTATGAATGGATAGTTGATTCAATCCCTCGACCGTGCTAATCGAGGTCTCCATCCCTGTGGGGTTGACAAACATATGAGGATCTAGAAGAATTGTCTTAAACACCAACTTGATGCAGGTTCACGCAACTCATTCCATGAGCTAACTACAGAGTTAATTCACCTTTAGTATGTTACGAATGGAGCCGAAGGCATGATAAATCTCTGAGTGATTGTTCAACATCGTTCACTTTATCTCATTCTATTTTCAATCCAAGGTTTTGTATTCTTGTCCTCCCTGTTTTCCAATTTTACCTTAGAGTAGTAATGAAGGAGTAACTGTACAATGGGCAAAACGCTCGATTAAGGGTACTTATAGTTTTTTAAGTAAGGATCTTGTACTATTCTTTTTTTTGTCATATTGATTTTTTTCTCTTTTAACGTTTCTATGAAATATTCACCACAAGTGAAAACGTTTGTTGCTCTCTCGTTGAACTGCCGGAATCATTCCGCCATCGCTTTCATATTATTTCTGATTTCTCACAATGATTACGGATTTGACACGACAGGCCATGCTTCTTTGAATTACAGAAGTTTCGTTTTTTTTTTAAATGAACAGTTACGTCCCCTAGTCTTTCGCGGATACGGTAAATCTCTTATGTTTTAGCGACCCTTAGTCGAGCTATCGATCGATAATTGATAGACCTGTGGGCTGAGTTCTACAGTATGATCCAGGTTATTAAGTGCTCCTAATAAACTTTACTGTAGAGTTCTCTTGATTTTTTTATGTCTCACTAAAATAGGTATCATATTTACCTATTTGTGGAATTCATGGCTATTTTCTCACTTTTTTTCGGATGATTTGATGAGATACTTGATGTTTGAATGGTCCATCCTCACTAGTTGTGCGGGCCCCAGCATAATCTCCATTTTTTCGGAGATTTGCTGGTTAAGGCAGTGTGGCTTTTTGGAATCCCAAGGTCAGCTGACCAAAGTCTGCTCCAGGGCTTCACCACCGCAGGCACTCGCAGCCCTTGTAGATCAGAGGTAGATTTGCCACCATGCGACTAATTTGATACCAAAACGGTGGCGGATCCTGGTATTGGTTTATTCTTAGCTAGACTTCCTGATGCAAACGCCATCCTGATAAGTGAGTAAAATTTGGTGAGATTCAATGAAGTATGCAACGAAATCAATTGGAAGCAATTCTTAAACCATTTGCATGACTTCTCAAGAGAATCATAAATCATTGATCATAAAGAATAGTGTAGGTCTTACCGATGAGTTGCTAACGAGATAAAGGAGGTTTTCCGAAAGAGAATACTGGTTTTATGGGTTTCAGATAGTCGTCTATGAAATTCTCATGGAATTAGAGTGGCTAATGTGGAAACGTTTAAATAAAACGGTTAGGCACAGGTGGTTCCGTAGAGCAAGCGGAACGGTGAAATAAGAGAAAAGACAACGAAAAATAAGAGGAAAACTAAAACGATTCGATCAACAACGACGATAATCATTCTATTTCAGTTTCTCGAAAGTAAACTGATTGGAAATTTTGACTCAGCCGATTTCTCGGACGCTTGGCGTCTAAAATTCAGCCATGCTCCAACTTGGTGTGATGCCGACATGTCACTGCAACAAATCAGACGAGTATGAAGATCTCTACTCGACTTTCACATTATTATTTTTCAATAGTTGACTATATTTTGCGGAAGAGCTGCAAGAAACGGTTTTCTGTAGGAGTAGGGCATTTGGTGTATTCATAATATGGTAGTTGTTTTTCGATAAACGAACAAGAGAGTTTGGTGACTGTGCAAGAGATCTTTGAGGTGATGTAAAATGATGTAGGAATTACAGACTTCGATAATTAGTAGATCACTATCTTGCAAAGCTTATTTTGGTCAAAGCAGTGGCCACTTTATTCAGCTTTGCAAGATATCAATGCTTGAGATCAAGCGACAACTGTGAGTACTTCGAATATTTCGAATACCCGATCACGTAGAAAGTAACCGGATTTCACAGATGACAATTTAGCGTGCTCGAATAGTTTAACAATACGAGAAGTGATCGACTTTCGAAGAAAATTCGGTTAAAATCGATCAGTTGAATACTGTAATATTCGTAAAAACTAATAAATGCCGAAAATCGGTGATTAATTTTCAGGGTGTCGCGAGGGGTAATCGTATAGCCCTCTATGCAAGAAGTTTCTTTCAATATTATCTGTTTAAAACTGGTTGCTTTGTTCAAAAATGGGCTTGGTCTACCATTGTTGCTTCGTATGTTCTTTGTTCTTTTATTGATTTTATTCCTTTGTATCTTTTTTAAACTTTACGAGACAAAAACCTTATTCTAGGTTAACTCTATACACTATATGTTGTGCAGGACTAAAAGATGTTGTCATTGAAACTGATATCGTTAAACTATGGGTGCAACGTAAGTTGAATTCAACTACTGCACTTTGGAGTTTTCTTCAGCGCATTTCCTTATAAAGCAGGTTCTTTTTAGTGGGTAGTTTCCTAAGATTTATTCTTTCAGAAGGTGGACGATTGAATGAAGAAATAAATTTTCTTTCAAAAGTTCAAGATGAAGCAAATAGGGTACGCTATTGCATCTTACATTACTTTGTAAAATAGTTATACCTGTTACTACCTTGTTTCATCCATCCTCTTTTCCGTTTCTTTCTTCTGGCCATACAAATCCATCAACCTTTTTCCAGATAGTAAAACGTTCCGCTGCCGGTGGTAATCTTGAACTCAGGCATGGACCGGATCTGCCACGGGAAAATGGACTCGGTGGAGGATTTCAGGTATTTTTTCTATAGTCTCTTTAATTGAAAGAAGTGTTTAATGTAGAGAAAATGGGGTTTCGTGGCGGAATTTTGAATGCCAATCTTTTCTGAAAGTTTTTTTTTACCAGGGTTTGATTAACTAGGGTTTTCAAACATACATATCACAGTATACCATACTCTCATTAATTTCAATGATTGCAGTTAGTAATTCAAACACCAGTTCACGACCACGAAAATGTTCTATCGAAAGAGTCACTACTGCGTCATGTAAAACTTATGGAAGAAATAGCTAACTATGAAGTAGAATTGTATAACGAGTAAGTTGCATCTATCACAGTCGTAATGGAAAACTGCGAAGCAACTTAGGAAATCCTCAAACCTCGACAAAATCTCAGTAGCGTACGCTAGTCCCATGTCAATTCCAGGTCTTCATTAACGCTCCTATATCTGTCTACCTGTCTGTCTCTTCCACCCTCTTTGCTGCTCTATCACTGCCGCTCTTTGGTTTCTGTCTGTCTCCCTCTTTTTGTCTGCTTCCCTAGCTCTTCTTCCCGTTTCTGATCTCTTCTCTTTTGTCTCTTTCTTGATTCCTCTCCCTTCCTCCGTCCGTTCCTTTGTCTCTTCCTCACTCTCGACCTTATTTCCTGTTTTTCTTCTTCTATTTTTCTCCATTTGTCGTCGTCACGCTCTTTTACAATAATCATCTATAGCACCATTTCATTTCATACGTGATCCATCCAAACCCTCCCTAGACGGTTATACACGTTCACACTGTACTGGGTTTTTAGATGAAGAACCTTTTTTAAATCCTTACGGGTTTTTTCTGCAGAAGATTTTGCGATGATCATGAAAAACTTGGGTTTCGTAGGAAATTCAACGTTTAACTTCCTATATTCGAAAAATGTGTGGAATTTTTGTTGCTCTTATCTGTAGCTCGAATCTGATCTATAAACACGGATTTCTTTAAGGAAATGGACGTTGAGCGATATCTGTTTCAAACCGCCAAGTCCACAATTCCAAACCGGACCATTATCTAAGGCATGACACTATTTTTATTAGCACTTATGTGCACAGACATCAACTAAAAATATTTATTCGTCTAACATATCCATCTGTTAATTTCAGAAATGAATGTATCATTTAACGGAATCATACACTTGCAGAATTTTCTTTATAGATTCGTTGCACATTTTTTCCTATTCGCTTATAACTACAAACACACGTAATCTCGGTAATCGTCGACAGATTCGAATGGGTACCAGCAGTCTTTCATGTCTACCTTTCGCAAGGACAGCTGTTTAAGTGAGCCACGCATGCTTGAGAGACCTGGTAGGTGTCGCAGATTTGGTGACGGACCGTCTATTCTTACCGTTTGGCGAGACTATGCTGATAGGTTTGATAAAGCCTGTGGGAAGATTGGTCTTCGAATAAATCTCAGAGAAACTATGTTCATGACGAGCGGATTGGTTTCGTATCTACCATTTACACTCACCGGAACGAATATCTTCGAATACTCCAGTTGTGTCTATCTAGGTCGGGAAATCAATATTATGAACGACTTAGCACTAGAGCTAAATAGAAGGAAACGAGCGGTTTGGGGAGTTTTCAAGAGCATCGAGGATGTACTGAAGAGGACAAAAAACACTCGACTCCGTGCCCACCTTTTCGATTCAACGGTACTTCCTGCGCTAACGTATGCGTCAGAGACCTACCTGATCGCTGCGTATGAAAGAACATTCAGGGTTATCGAACGCGCAGTCGAAAGGACGATGCTAGGAGTATCCTGTTTCACACAAGTAGGAGATGGGATCCGAAGCTCCCATCTGCGTCAACGATGAAAAATCAAAGATTCCGTTCTGTACGGGAAACAGTTGGAAGATAAGATGGGTCGGACACGTAATGCGTATGATGGCAACCGAAGAACAAGAGCTGTTAGTGACTTGATTCCTCGGGATATTAAACATATTGAAGGAAGACCACTGATCCGATCAGAATTCTTCACGAAGAGCCTAGAAGTAAGATATGATGCTCGACGAGTTTCTAGAGCGAGCAGAAGCCACTGGACTACTCTTACACGCGATAGAGAAAAATGGAAGATTTACTGGCTCCCGCTCGAGTCACTCGACGATCAACGGGATTACAGGTGATACAGATGATGCTGATAGGTTGCTAACAGAGTTCTGCTTCAGAGGGTGTAAACCGAAATTGAGTTCGTTGGAATCCTTCTAAATGAAGGAATACAAGTAGCTAGTGATTAGAGGTTCACTGTTGTACGCACACGGATTTTAGTTTGATCCCATGCTCTTGTCAAACTAATTCCTCAATCCCTCGGTATATTGCTAACATACTTGTATGGAACGATGAACTAAGCTCGCTCAAAGTCTTTGTACAGGCCAAATATCCGTTCATTCACCTCTCCGACTCAACGGATGGTGTCAAATAGATGGCATGGATGAACCTCAAATGCTTTGATTATTGTTGATTTTTTGCAAAGTAAATGAATAATACCTCATATGCTTCCCAGTCGCATTTGTTTTCAAGTCTCTCAGAAAATGAGTCTCTAAGATTTTTCCCAAATACAACGCAGAGCCGTCGATGAACTTGCATATGAGTGTTCTGATTTCCGATAAACGGAAGATAAAATAAAAATCACGTGAATTTTTCAATCCGTTTGTTAGTTTTCAGTTCATGAACACGATGATTGATAGGATTATTCCATGTATATGGATTACTCCTATCGATTGCTACTGGGAGGGTTCAAAACCGTTGGGACCGCATCCGCCGATAAATCTCGGGTATTTTTTTATTATGAGGATACTACTAGACGCTTCTTGTTAATTTTTTCAATGTACTAATGAAATAGTAATCGAAAACTACCTTTATGAAATAAAACGTTATGCTTTCTAGTGATGAAGTGGGCGCGTTTCTCAGTTCGCTCCCAAAAGGGAACGTCACATGGAAGAATCTGAATCCTACGGCAGTTATGACTGAAGTCGGACAATTGTTTGATATCGGTCCCATTGGGAATTTCTTCGAAAGAGTATGTTTATCACGAAAGACGAAAGTAGATTTCTTCGATTCATGGATTTTTAGACACAAATTAAAATATAGAAGTGAGAGGTTGGAGTTATTGACCGATGAAATCGAATGTCTTTGCTAAGTAGTACGGTAACGCGAAGACTTGTCCTGATGTCAGGATGAAAAATGCCGACGAAATTCTTTTAAATACTTGAAGTTGAACCTACTTATTTGTTAATGTTTCAGTGTTTTTATGGACGATCACCCAAATATGAGCCTAATTTTAGGCTGGAATCGGTGCTGCCTACTTGGATCGGCCCTGTATAGATCCTTTGGATGCTGAGTGTCCGAAAGGTGCACCAAATTACTTCGACAGATGTTCGGCTCTGGAGAAATTCACCGAATGGAATGCGGCAAAAACTGATTCAGAAAAGGTTGATGGTCATTCCATTATTATTTCATTCTCTAATAATCCATGTTTATTTTCATTCCTTGAAATCATTTCTTTTCATCGAGGTCTTCATTCTTTTCTTTCTTCCGTTTAATTGCTTACGTGACCTTTCGTCAATTTGTTGATTAGTTCTGAAGGTCAATGAATAGACGAAACTCGCTTTAACTTGAACTAAGCGTTCTCTTTATTTGATTATATCTTAAAATTTATCTCACCATACAAAAACACACATACAACTTAACAGTAGTTGACGTTTCGGCAGTATCCCCTTCTTCAGAGCTTGAAAGGGATCCAAAAAGCGTCAAGAATTTTGCTCGCCGGTGTTTTCACATCCTTGTGCGACGATAGTGACTTTTGTGTCAAAATCTTTTCTATACTTTTTCCTTTTTTTTACTTACTTTCTTTTTTTCTTTACTTTTTATTTCTTTACTTTTTTACTTTTTTTCTTTTTACTTTCTTTACATTTTTTTTCTTTTCTATACTTTCGTATCCTATGCGTCCCTAGTGGGGTATTTGGTTTTGTTTTACGTTTGCCATCTAGGTGTTCTTTTATGCGGGTACATAAAGGTCCGCCCGTTTCGGCAATATAATCATCACTGCAGGTATTGTAAGAGATCAGGTATATCGTGTCATGCAGTCACTGTGCTTGCTGTAAGAGCAAGCTACCTAACTTTGTGTTTCGCATAGACGTTCATATAGGTAGGCGGTTACGAACTAGTTGACGACAAAGAGTATCCGCTGGTATTTCTACCATCACAACTGATTCCTCTAGAGATGCATTTCTTAAGCATCGTTTTACAGCTACACTTGCTTTACCGCTAATTAAGGACACGGGATTTTTGGACTGGGATTGATTTTACACGGATACCAGGGCTTCACTAATTTTCAATTTATTTACAATATTCTTTTCTCTTAGAATGAAGAAGCATTGATTCAATGCCTCAGAATCGCTTCGTTATGATGAAAAATGAGTAGATCTTTTGAAAGCCGAGGTTCTTTACATCATAAACGGTCGATATTTAGGAAAAAGTTCTTTTTTGGCAAGAGTGAAAAGCAAGAAAGAAAAGTGAAATACTGAATGCTATATGTGTTATTTCGTTGTCAGCGAAAGCACTAATTCCTCATATTAAACCTCATACAGTTAAAATACTAAAAAACTGAAAGCTTTTTTCCTCGTACAAAGAGAAAGTTGTCATTCATTTGTTTCAAAATGATCGATTTTATCGATCGCAATATTCTTTTTGTTTACTGCTTACTACAATTTTTCACGGCAGGGTGTTATGCGAAATTCAACCACAACGATGCTGAGATATTTGCAAAACGCTGGACCGCCGGTGTCTGCGCTGGGAAACGAACGCGCTATTATCCCTTCCGTGGGCAAACACGTTCACCACCACACCATGTGGGTTATTCGTTTCGGCTGTCTCCTAGTTATTTTTATCGATCATTGCCGTCAGCAATCACCCGTTTACGAGACTGGGATTTTTTAAAAAAGTAAAAAGCAGTAAATAAAAAGTAAACATTGTGATTTCACGTAGTAATTCCCAAGACCGACTTTCTGTTAACCTCGGCATTTATTGATAATTCAATGTTTTTCATCAATAAGCAGACACGAGGTTGTT